TCTCTGTCTGTGTGTGTGTGTGTGTGTGTGTCTGTCTGTGTCTCTGTCTCTGTCTGTGTGTGTGTGTGTGTGTGTGTCTGTCTGTGTCTCTGTCTCTGTCTGTGTGTGTGTGTGTGTGTGTGTCTGTCTGTGTCTCTGTCTCTGTCTGTGTGTGTGTGTGTGTGTGTGTCTGTCTGTGTCTCTGTCTCTGTCTGTGTGTGTGTGTGTGTGTGTGTCTGTCTGTGTCTCTGTCTCTGTCTGTGTGTGTGTGTGTGTGTGTGTGTGTGTGTCTGTGTCTCTGTCTCTGTCTGTGTGTCTCTGTCTGTGTCTGTGTCTGTCTCTGTGTGTCTACACATAAAATATACTGAACCATATTTTGTGGACAAATTTGTATCCAGAAGTAAGCTAAACATGAAAATCTCCCTAAACCTTCTTTTGGGAACGTCCTCATTTGTGAAAACTGTATTAAAGTAAATAAAAGTGGAAAAAAAAAATAATAATGTTTATGTTAGATTAGGTTAAACCGTAGAAGTCTATGCAATGTCCCTATGTAGTAGTCTCTATTTACCAGAAAATGTTGGACATTGTGGGGACAAAGTTTAAGTCCGTATTAGGAAAATGGTTTATAAATTATACCAAATTATGTCTGTTAGGTTTAGGAGTAGTGTTAATGGATAAAATATAAAGTTTGTACAGTAGATAAAATATCATGTCTATGGAGACTCCTCATAAAACACAAAAATTCAACAAAAGTGTGTGTAAATGTTGCACTTGTTACTTTAATGTTTAAAGACATCAATATTACCTCTCATGCTCTGATATATTCTGCTCTGTCTTGACTTTCTCAGAACTGAGACAGTCCCATGAAAAGGAAATGCAGACTCTCAATGCAACACTGAAGGAATCAGAGGACACATTATCTGTAAGGCGGTGACCAAGAGCTAAAATTCTCCACACAACATCCGTGTTTCCTGCTCACTTTTCCTTTCTTGTATTTTTGCCCTGTCAAAATGTAACAAACATTTTCATATCAGTGCATTTTTCCTCAAACAGAATCGAATTCAGAAGCTCATGACGGAGAATAACAACCTCAAAGAAAAGCTGGATGCTGAGGTGAAGAGAAGGATGGATCTGGCTGAGAAAACACAGGTAAGTTATCACTCCTGTATAGCTCCCAAACATGTGTTATCAAACAGACTTAGCCAGTGCTATTGATAGTAATGCGTCTCTGCTGTGTAGACTGTATTTCCATGAATGACAGGTTAATATTAGACTGGTCTTTCCAATCAGAGTTAAGGAGATTCCGGAACTCTCAACATTCTGAAAATGCATGCGAGGGCATTTAGATAACTACCATGCATAATACTGTAAGACCCTGTACTATAAATAGTGTGACAATCCTGCACAGGGAAAGTACATATATCGGGGTTTCTTCAACTATGGACACTTTCGACCCTTAATCTGTTAGAAAAAGTAGTGTCTTACATTTATGCATTTAGCAGATGCTTTTATCTAAACGCTCTTAAAACACACTTTTCACATTTTCACATAGTTTTAGATTGTTCACCAACAACGCCAAACAGTTTATATTCACACTCAACAGGAGAATTCTTTATTTGTGTGTGTGTGTGTGTGTGTGTGTGTGTGTGTGTGTGTGTGTGTGTGTGTGTGTTTGCACTGATGAAGTCATAGCATGCGTGTGTGAAGCCTGAAACTTGACCGCATGAACGCAAACGCTGATAGATATAGCAGTGTGTAAGCAGGCATTGCCAAAAAAAAAATATATATATATTTTATGTACTGTATATTTTTGTCTTAATTTTTCAGTATACATTTTTAAACATACTTAAAATAAGATGCATTTAGTTTTGAAGAAAAATTGTTTAAGATAATAAGGCTTATTTTAGATGTGTATTAATTTACTATTTTGTAATAAAATGTTTATTTAGTTAGCTATTTTAGTTATTTATTTATCAGATGGTTTTATTTACAGCGACTTAACAATACATGCCATTTTTTTACACTTATTTTCATTTAGCAGATACTATTATTCAGAGGGACTTAAAAATAGATGTAATTTTTCTTTTATTTTTATTCATTTAGTAGATGATTTATTCAACGTGACTCAAAAATAGATGTAATTGTTCATATTTTTATTGTATTGCATTTATTTAGCAGATTATTTTATCTAAAGTGACTTAAAAATAAATGTAATTTTTATTTTATTTTAATTTATTTAGCAGACGCTTTTATTCAGTGCCAAAAATAGATATAATATTTTTATTTTATTTTTAGTCATTTAGCAGATGCTTTTAAAGTGACTTAAAAATAGATAAAATTAATGTTTTTTTTATGATATGTTCACTCATTTATTAGATGTTTTTATTTAAAGTGACTTAAAAATAGGTGTACTTTTATTTTTATTTTATTTATTTAGCAGATGATTTTATCTAAAGTGGCTTAGATAAGCAATACAACAAAGCAGTTCATCCTAGATATATTTTCCGAAAATGCTCATCTTTTACAATTTTGCTTGTCTCTAGTCAAATTACTACAAGGATGTTTTTCTTCAGATCAAGTTTTGAGAGGGCGAGTCGGTGTATCATTAGCACTGGTGTTAGTTTACTGTCCGCATGTTTGTGAACACGAGTCTCTTGTGTTTCTGTCAGAAGTGCATGTGTGTGAGTTTCTGCATGAGGTCTGATGGTGTTCAGAAGCGCTTCAGATGTCTCACTCTCTCTCTCTCTGTGTCCCTACAGGAGGAGCCAATGACAAAGTTAGTGTACTAGATGCTGTAGTGTTCTGCCATCATCGCTAACCCAGCAAACACACTCACAATCATCTCTTTCTCAGACTCTAGAGCTCCTGAAGCTGTTTCCATTGTGTCAGAGGGTTTGCTCATGTCAGTCAGCGTGTCCGTGTTTATTCCCGGCAGTGAGCGTATAAATAGCAGTGACATTGACCTTCGCATGTATTGTTACAGAGCAGATTCCCAGAGAACAAGTTCATCAGGAAGACCAGCGCAGGTCAGCTAGTTAAACTCATGAGAGAGTGGAGCCATCTAGTGGTGATAGTTGACATTGACCAAACAAAATCAGATTCATGATGCATTCTGCATTTTGAGCTCATTAAAATTAGACTAAAATTGAATTAAAATGGAATTAAAAAAGGATGATCTGTTTGAAAAATTAAAAATATATTTTTTAAAAATCTAAATTTAATTTTGCAATTCTATTTGGTGCAACTTTTTAGGGTTGTTATAGTAAACTAAAGCCATACAAAACATGTTCATTACTTAAAATTAAATAAACATTAACTGAAATAAAATGAAATGAAAAAAAGCTTAAACTTATTTTAGTTCTTATTTTAGTAAAATAAAAAGGAAAAAAACTATATATTTATATATAACTGGAAATATTTGAACTGGATCTACTAAAATGAATAAAACTAAAACTAAAATAAAAATTAATAAAAAAAAACTCTATAGACATTTAAAAAATAAGGGGGTCTGAATACTTTCCGTACCCACTGTATATATACATATACACACATATACAAAGAAAACAAGTAGATAGAATAAAAAAAGAATATAGAAAGCTAGTGTTAGAGTTTTGTTTTGTTTTTGAAGAAAATAAGCAGTTACAAAATGAACAGAGAGTGCAAGTGATAGAGGGTCAAGTGTTTTATATATATACAGTAGTAAAATCTATATATTGAATAATATGTGTCAAATAATGTTCTTAGCCTTTTCTTCCTGTGTGGAAGCATCCCAGCCAGAAACTACTATACAGGTGCATCTCAATAAATTAGAATGTCGTGAAAAAGTTCATTTATTTCAGTAATTCAATTTAATACACGAGTTTCACAATTTGAGTTGAATTACTGAAATAAATTAACTTTTCCACGACATTCTAATTTATTGAAATGCACCTGTAGTTTACTATGAATGAAATGGAAATTATATTAAATTAAATACAATTAATTGTGTAACTAAAATACCAATAATGCCCAGAATAAAAAAACTTAACGTGTGACTTTTAATTATAAACAAGCCCGAAAAAAACAAGGACTCTTATTTTGAAATGTCTACACTATTGCGGGCTGATCCTTCAGATGAGAGAGAAAATATGCATTCTTACAACCGTCTAAAACATATTATATAAAGGTCATAAAGTAGACATTGTCATAATTCTAAACTTGAGTTCATAAGCAATTGCTTGGCATAAATGTGCTCTGTTCATTGATTGAGAATCACTTTGAAGCAGTCTGAAGCGCGAGCCTGTTGAACGTGCAACAGCGCCGCCTTGTGACACTGCAACGTGCAGCGCTCTTTTTTTTTTAATGAAATAATTTTGAAGTTTAATAAGCGATAGGCTGTATCGCGATTTATGTTTTTCGATCCCCAAAATAAGGCGACTTAAAATGATCATTAAGATGTTTGTTTTACCATGTCGAGCCCTGTGTCTGTGAAATATCTGCCACGTCTCTGCAGCGCAGTTCTCGCGCACACAGAACGAGCAGATACGAAATGTGTAGGGCGAGGGAAGATTTTCCACTAGTTAATCGATCGCGGATGGTTTCATTATTTTGGGCGGATAAAAAAAAAAGCATGAGGATAAAAATAATAAAAGCAAAAATGTTTCTCCATATATACTTGGGCGGCCCACCCAAGCAAAGTCTATGTGTGGGAAGCACTGCGTGTCAAAGTCAAAACCCGGTGCGGGTGTTTTTATATCACTGTATTTCTGAAGGAAACCTACTGTCTTCAGAAAATGTTTAAGATGTCCAACTAAAGGACCCCACAAAGTATTATAAACAAGGATGTGTTATTTACTTATTTATTAAATTATTTTGGATTTATTTATTTGTTATTATTGTTTATAAGTTGCTTTTGTAGTCTATTTGAAGCAAAATTCATATCACAATATCTTGCTGACTTGCTGTTAACTGATTGTATTTCTGGAAAGCACATTGTACATTGTGTCTGTGTCTGTGTGTGTGTGTGTGTGTGTGTGTCTCAGAACCGCTCGTAAGCCCATGCTGGAGCCAGAGGAGAATCACGTCTCAGCTCTCAGTGATGCCAGTAAGAAGCGTGTGATCGAGGACACGGAGGACTGGCATCCGCGCACCGGCACGTCTCAGTCGCGCTCCTTCCGCATCCTGGCGCAGATCACCGGCACAGAGAACGGTACACACTCATTCAGCCCTTCATTTACACTCCTATCAGCTTCACAGCTCAAGCTGAAAGTATTTCTCACTTCTCTCCTCTAGAGCAAGCTCAGGAGAACCGGCCGGGGAAGAAGTAAGTTCTGCTGTCGTTCTCATCATATCTGATGTTGCTCTGTCTGATTGTTCATAATCTTCTGTCTGATCAGTCTGTGCTTAAACCTTCCTGGCATTCAAGGAAATTGCTAGGAATCAAATGGGATCGTGGGTAATCGGGGCTGTTTTCTGAACGCACATGTTCTAAAATAATACTGTTCTATAATTTGAAGTAATATAAATTGGTTACAAAAATTATATTAATGAAAAACAAATAACAATATTTTGATATAAATGATTATATAATAAAATTATGAATGAATTATCTGTATTTCATAATACAAATTATATATATATATATATATATAAATGCAAAAGTGCTTATATCGAAATAAGGCTGAAATTGTGTTTAAAATAATATAATATTTAAAATAATATAATGTTTGTCATTTAAAAACAATGTGAATTATTGAATAATTATAAATGTTTATGTGTTGTAATATTAGTTGTTTACCAATCATATTAAATAAAAATGATATATTATTATATATATATTGACGTTTATATAATATTAATTGTTTACCAATCATATGAAATAAAAATGAACACACACACTATTTATGTAAAGTATTATATAATGAGATATATCATATTCACTTTTTTAATTCACTGGTTTAAATGATAAAACTTCAATATTTACGCAAATGTAATTTTGAAGCTGCAAGATGTTTATCTGTTGTTGTTGCTGGATCTGACACATGTAGTCGATCAGAAACAGTTATCAGCTGATAGTGATCTTTATAAGGACAAATATCAGCTAATAGTCCTGATCAATACGTCCTGATCTATTAGCTGTTTTCAACACTTGTGTGCCTGTGCTGAGGTTTATTACTCGTTCACTGTCCTTCTGCTGTCTGCTTTCCTCTAACGGCTGTATTTCCCGTCTGTCTCTGTGCCATCGACCGTCAGGGTGACCAGAGTGGACCCAGAGCTGGTCCGGCCTCAGTACAACAAGCTGAGAGACTGGCATCACGGGGTCTCGGCCTGCGTGCTAAACGTGCAGTAGACCCGCCCACACCTGTCAATCACAGCGGCACGGTCATGTGACCCGCGAGCAAGTGTGTGTGTGTGTGTGTGTACCACTGATCTATATAATGACTGGATTGCTCACTGCGTTCTAAACTGCTGACTGCCGATTGTCTTACTATAGGGAGATGAGAGGGTCTGTATTACTTACTATTGGAGAAAGCGTTACGGCTAACTTGGATCACATGTGCCTTAATAACGAATCACATTACAGCCTTGACGTCAATGAATTTCAGTCAGAGTTGTGCAACACTCAGTCGCCGTTTACGGATCCCATAGGAATGAATGAGAATGCCGTAAGCTGTCGCAAAAAGTCAGTGACTTCTCTTATAAAACTGCATTTCTTTCTGTGTAAACTCTACAAATAATTCAATTTTTGACGGCGGTTAAAAAGCCCCAAAGTAGTGCAATGACCATATCCCATATGTGTCCCTGGAGCACAAAAGCAGTGTTAAGTCGCTGGGGTATATTTGTAGCAATAGCCAACAATACATTGTATGAGTAAAAATTATTGATTTTTCTTTTATGCCAAAAATCATTAGGATATTAAGTAAAGATCATGTTCCATGAAGATATTTAGCTAGTTTCTTACCGTAAATAAATCAAAACTTAATGTTTGATTAGTAATATGCATTGCTAAGAACTTCATTTGGACAACTTTAAAGATGATTTTCTCAATATTTTGATTTTTTTGCACCCTCAGATTCCAGATTTTCAAATAGTTGTATCTCAGCCAAATATTGTCCTATCCTAACAAACCATACATCAATGGAAAGTTTATTTATTCAGCTTTCAGATAATGTATAAATCCTACCTATACCTAAAATATATATTTTACAGTCTCCCGTATGCAGATTGATCATACACACAGCTAAAAGGCTTCTTACCAGTGGCCATCCTTCACAAAACTTAACATCTTGCACAGTTTTATCATAGGTAGAGTGCGAAATGTTTCAATACAAGCATTTCAGTCAAATGTAATTTATGCAATATTTCAAACATTTAACCCATGGGAGAAAATCAACCCACCCATGGTTTAAAAGTAGCTTAATTATGTGGGAAAAAAATACAGATTTGGCAACCCTGCATCCACACGAGCTGCAGGAGTCAAGAATCGGGATCAAGAAGACAGTCCTTTATTACAAAAATGCACACAATGAATGTATGACGACTGTAGAAAGCAAAATCCGAGTCCCGGATATTTTGGGCGATTTAGAAACCCTGGCCGGACGCATTTTCCGGTCCAAAAAGAGGACATGTCCAGGGAAAAGAGGACGTATGGTCATCCTAGTTTAGTGTAAAACATGTTGAAGATTAGCAGATAGGCTGTCAATTCATTAAATGATAAGCCGTTTCCTCTAAAAAAGCTGTTTATTCAGCGTAATGAAGCCTCTTCTCTAAATGGTTCCATAAAGAACCTTTAACATCTGAAGAACCTTTCTGTTTCACAAAAGCTTCTTTGTGGCGAAAGAAGGTTCTTCAGATTATAAAAAGGTAAGAAAGAGATGGTTCTTGACTGAATGCTTCTTTGTGGAACCAAAAATGGTTCTTCTGTGGCATCGCTGTGAAGAAGCTTTTAAGCACCTTTATTTTTAAGAGTGCAGCATTGACTGACAGCCAAAACACCGACCTAAAATCACCCGATTTGAAGCGTGTCAGCCACACGGGATTAATTTTTATGTTGTGTATGTATATTAATTTTTACTTCAGATGTTATCTGCAATGTTTACAGTCTTTTTGGGCAGGATAAGCGATATATGCCAACACCGGTAACTGATCCAACACCAAATATATTTCTTTATGCACGTAATTATGCAGGAATTATTAAACATTAACATATATCTGGTATTACTATCTGAAATTGATTCGAATATACAATGAAAAATAAAATACAAGCCTCTGTTACATTGTTTTATTGTAATTCAAAGCTTATGATGCATCGTCTCGGAAATAAAGCTTTATGTCTTTAAGTCCGTATCGTATATAGTCACCGTTTTTTCTCTGAATAAGTTGTGATGTGTATATTTTTAATGTCCTGATCGAGCAACATCTATTTCAGACTCTTCAAGATTTTGGCGTTTTACTACCGTTTCCATGTAAAATGTTATGTGTTAAATTTAATAATTTAACCAACGTTTAACTCATTACGTGCTTCAAAATGAATGCTGTTAACGAAATCATTGTTGAAACATTTGCAGTTAGCCTAGTGTACGAATAAAAACACACACCTAACAAAATTAGTGAATAACTGTACAAGGCATACAAAGCATAAACCTTTATTCAGATTTCAGAATGAGCACTTTGTCATTTGTAATGCATGTGTTGAGGATCTTGTCCGTCTAATGTTTATCATGTTCATCGCTACTAATGTATATGAACATAAGTTTTTAATAAGCAGGGGAAATTCCCGACATTAAACAAATAACTTCATGTTTAGGACGTTTGCATTGTAAGAATGTACAGGAATACTTCAGATAAAAAAAATGCTGACTTGTTAGGTGATGTTTTCTTATTAACTCTTTCCCCGCCAGCATTTTTGAAAAAAGTTGCCAGCCACCGCCAGCGCTTTTGATGATTTTCACTACAATTTGATGGCCTCCAGTATATTTTGCTGTATGAATATTTGAATATGCAATACACCAAAATAAAGAATAACATGCGTTTTCTTCTAAAAGACGAGATAACTCGTCAATGGCGGGGAAAGAGTTAAAACCATACGATTTCCTATTAATTCAACAGAATGTATAGGAATACTAGGGAATACAGATATGTCGTCATGAGCAATCCAGATCTCTATTATAGATCAGTGGTGTGTACAGTGTGTGTGTGTGTGTGTGTGTGTGAGAGTCATCAGGGTTTTGGCTGAAGGATGTTAGATTTGTATGATGGTCTGTTCTTCTTTGCATGACTTTTATCAGCTGTGTTTCTTCCTGCTGTTCTTCTGTCACACATATAAACCTTTCTCTGATCATCTGCTGTCTGTACTTTATTTCGCGGCTCTGATGCTGCAGTGTTTCTCTCTGAATCTTCCAATAAAGCTTTTCTGTCATATTTCTGCATCTGATGTGTCTCTTCTTTCCTCTGTTTTCTTTTCTTCCTGAACTCTGACTGTTGAAATGGGACAGAAGTGATTTAGAAGTGACTGATAGGATCAAACTCCCAGAGGAACATAATTCTGATTCTATTAACAATTCTATGTTTCCAGGAAGCATTCACATACTTATTTACACTCTAGTAAGTCTTAAGGAAGTAAGAAATTAATCAAGGATGCATTAAATTTATCAAAAGTTGACAGTAAAGACATTTATAATGTTAGAAAATATTTCTATTTCTAATAAATGCTGTTCTTTTGAACTTTCTATTCATCTGTGAATCCTGAAAAATAAAATGCATCAGTTTCCACAAAAATATTGTGCAGCACAACTGTTTTCAACATTGATAATAATCAGGAATGTTTCTTGAGCAGCAAATCAGCATATTAGAATGATTTCTGAAGATCATGTGACACTGAAGACTGGAGTAATGATGCTGAAAATTCAGCTGCGCATCACAGAAATCAATTACTGTTTAACAGATATTCACACAGAAAACAGCTGCTTTAAATGTTAATAATATTTTACCATTTTATTGTATTTTGATCAAATAAATGCAGCTTTGGTGAGCAGAAGAGACTAATTTCAATAACAAAAAATGCAATTATTCACAACTTATGATGTGTGTGTGACTGCACGTTTATGTTTTTTAAAATATAATTTAATAATAATAATAATAGTAAATGCAGTTATTTATTAACATTTTATTATTAGTTTTTTTTTGTATTATATGTAATATGTTTTATTTAATAATAATAATAATTGTTAATTGTAGATGGAGCTGTATCTGTATAGTGTTGGGGGTAACGCATTACAAGTAACGCAAGTTACGTAAATTTAAAAAGTAACACAAAAGTAACGTAACGCATTACTTTCCATAAAAAGTAACTAAGTACCGTAATTAGTTACTTTTTTATGGAGTAACGCAACATTGTAATGCATTACTTTTAAAAGTAATTTTCCCCAGCACTAGTCACTACACCGAAAACCTTAAAGCAGCACTAATGAAACTCAGGGTCGGTTCAGTCATTTAAAATGAATTTTGAGATTTTTTTTTATATGAGATTATGTGACATGACAGACACACAAACCTTTATAGAGCCGTTAGACACTGACACACAACACCCATCTGTGACAGAAGATCTGGACATTTCTAATATTTATTTATTGGAGATAAATAATAGATAAGATTGCACCTCCTGGCCACATATCCCTCTCTCTGTTTCTGTCTCGATTCAGTTTTTCAATCCATTTTTTATCGTCACATTTGTCCTCGGGAGCCTACAAAACTGAACGACACACTGAAAAAAAATAAATGTGTTTGAATCAAAGCTCTGTGTAATGTAGAGATGTGAGGAGGAGAGAAACCTGAGGGCTGATTATATATTAATGTGTCTATTCACTTTAATGCACCTTCATCATTTGCCACAGGCTGTGAAAGACTGCTGCAGTTCTGTTAGTGGACAGTAGGTGGCAGAACTGCATTGGATTTCACCGCTTTAGTAAAGTTCAGTCCATCGTCACTAGAAATAGTGCTGCTAGTGATGAGGAAACCTCTAACACTTTATATACTGTGTATATAGTAAAAATTTCAAATAGCAGTTTTCTACATGAATATCTGTTAAACTGTAATTTATTTCTGTGATTTTCAGCATCATTACTCCAGTCTTCAGTGTCACATGATCTTCAGAAATCATTCTAATATGCTGATTTGCTGCTCAAGAAACATTTCTGATTATTATCAATATTGAAAACAGTTGTGCTGCCCAATATTTTTGTGAAAGCCATGTTTTGTGGAAAAGTTAGAATAATTGACACTAATTGAGCTGCAAAGCAGCATATTATTATGATTTCTGAAGATCATGTGGCACTGAAGACTGGAGTAATGATGCTGAAAATCACAGAAATAAATTACAGTTTAACAGATATTCACATAGAAAACAGCTAGTTTAAATTGTAATAATATTTCAGCATTTGACTTTTTCTTGTATCAGATAAATGCATATAGCAACCGCCCACTTTTACTTCTACCAAAAAATTATGTAAGATGTAATTACATCACATGAATGTAACATTATGTTCTGTAATAATGGGTGCATTTGTCTGCTTTTATTTGTTTATTAGACTAATTTTCAGAAGGCTGTGTGTTTTAGCTTCAAACAGACTCCACGTGGTGATCAATAAAGATTAAAGAGCTCTAATGTGGCCGTATGGTGGCTTTCCGTGGGTAAAATTAATTTTGCAGCGAGTGTGTGAGATGACGCTCACCTGCTGGCGGTGCTGTGCTTCACGCATGTTACCAGCTGCTCAATGCATATGTGCCCTGTGACCTCTGCCATCCCAGCATCCTCCTGCGTTTCTGTGCTTCTGCTGCTCTATTAGGCTGCATGTTTGCACTTGATGCAACACCACAGACAAGTAACAGATGGTGTAACCACAGTATTTTGCGAGAAACCATTTATCTATATCTGTATATATATCTATATATAAATCTGAAAACATGACAATACTTTTTTTATTGAACGTTTATTACTATTTGATTAATTATTGTATAATTTTTATGAGGCTGCTTGAGTGGTACTGACCTGTGAAACTAAAAATTATATATAATTAGTAAAAACTACATTACCATAATAAATATTTTTGTAATTTATATAATATGTATGTTACATATGTTTTTGTAATTAAAATATCTATAATATTTTTACATTTTGCATTAATGACAATTAAACACATTTATTATCTAATATTAAAAATATGTATAATAAAAGATATATATATATTTAAAATATTTAAAATGCATTTACACATTTAATTTCACAATAATTAAACACATTTACTCCTTAAATTCTCCTTACCATATTATCATATTTATTATCCTCAGTGGTTATTCTGATTATGCTTTCATTACTGTAATAAAACAAAAAAATACTGTAATACATTTAATTTAAATTAGCATATATTAAATGCAGTACATCAAGTGCTAGTGTAATGTATAGTATTTTACATTTTAAAACCATTATGTTTGAGCCATTTAAAACAATAAAAATTGGATTACATAGAATACATTCATTTCATGACAATTAAACATCTTGCCAAATAGTCTAATTTTTCATTCACATCACAGATTTTTTTTTTCTTAAAAACATAAAAAAGTATTACTTAACTTTTTCTTACAAAGCATTTGCTTGCATAAGGTACATAAAATGTCTTTTTACTTATATGTTCACAAGAAAAATATTATGTTATGCAACAACAACAACAACAAAAAAACAATATATAAAGTAAAATAACACTGGATGGATCATAATACAAAGCAATGCAATAAAAAGATTATTTAAGTATTAACCAGCTTCTAATTGAAGCCAGATATAGTGAGAAAGGAAATAAAATGATGATTGTTATTAAAAGCAAAGTATAATTAGTTTTTATTCTCACTGTGGGGTGAAGTGTGACCCGGACATGTTGTCGACAGGAAATCTCAGCAGCTCTGTTTTTTAGTTGGCACTGGTTTAGTTCATTAACAAACCATCTGGGAGCGCTCGTATTTGATCAGTCTGCTCATATTTGAGCCAGATCTTCTCCTGTATGGCTCTGGATGGGTGTGGAGCTCTCACACGCTCAGCCTGATGCTGTTTCTGGTTTATCAATCAACGATCCGGTTCGGTGTTAAACCTCCTCCATCCTGCAGTCGGACCGCACGTTTGCCTGAAAATCTGCTTATGCATGACAGTAAACGACGTGCTAATGAATCAGGCTGAGTTAGGGGTGTGCGACGTTGACACAAAAAATCCCAATATTTTCTGGGATTTTATCGATAATGATAATTAGATGATATGGATGGGTGTGGAGCTCTCACACGCTCAGCCTGATGCTGTTTCTGGTTTATCAATCAACGATCCGGTTCGGTGTTAAACCTCCTCCATCCTGCAGTCGGACCGCACGTTTGCCTGAAAATCTGCTTATGCATGACAGTAAACGACGTGCTAATGAATCAGGCTGAGTTAGGGGTGTGCGACGCTGACACAAAAAATCTCAATATTTTCTGGGTTTTATCGATAATGATAATTAGATAATATTTTGCTGAGAGTGTTATTGTGCTGGTATCTTGGACAGCTGACTCCTACAGTTTTTGATATTCTTCATATTCTGTGTGATGGTGATAGAAATAAATCTTTTTCAATATGTTTGAATTGATTTTTACAGTTTATGGGCATTTTTACCTTTTATAAAGCCATTTTTCTAAAAGTGTGCATCATCTTTTGAGTCAAATTCTTACATTTACAGTCAATTAGAATAATAAGACATTTGGGCTGTTACCAAACAAATAAACTCAGTATCAATAAAATTCATCTTTGCAATGCAGAGGAAAAACAGAAGCTGCATCTGAAGTGGCGCTCAGTATCAATAAAATTCATCTTTGCAATGCAGAGGAAACACAGAAGCTGCATCTGAAGTGGCGTTTAGATGCATTTACACACTGTTTAATACAGCTCTGAGGGGCATGCGGTGCTTTAACCTGCAGTTACATGTGCATGAATAATGTCTTGATATTTTAAACATAAAACGTTGAATACTGATTTTATTTGAAATTATATATATATAAAAAAAAGATACTTTAAATGTTAAATTAAAACCACCAGTAGGTGGCAGCAAGTCACTGTTAATAAGTGAGTCATTGCGATTGAACTGAATCATTTAAATGGTTGATTCATTCAGGAACGAAAGACCGTCATGTTGCTCAGAGACACAAAACAGTGCTGTGGCTGTGTTTGGAATTATTTTTGTTGCCGAAATGGCGCAAAAACAGGCAATATGGTGTCTATGAACTATATGTTTATTGAACTGTTGTATAAAATCAATATCACATTTGTAATCATGCTGACTTTTGGTTATTGATTAACTATATAACTATATTATTGATTAACTCATTCTAAATGCATTTTATTAGACTGAATCATGCAGTGAAAGAACATACTCTAAATTCGCACGCGCACTAGTCTAACCTACTAGACTTCATCACATAATGTAAGTGTGCACTCTGTAGGTGTGTTTTGTTTGGTTTTTGCAATATACTCTTGTCAAATAGCACATTGTTAAAACAACTATTACAATATTATCGCAGACGATATATATCGCACACCCCTAGGCTGAATGTAGAAACACTATCTGCTCTCAGAGATTTCTGATGCATGTTTGAGTGTTTGTTTTGTGGTCTAGCAGCGCTGCAAGTCACTTTCTCTCTGTCTCTCACTCCAGCGAGGCCACAGAGGAGCTTCAGCCCAGTTCTAATGCCACGTCTTCAGTCAAAACCATGAGCAAAGCGGTCGCTGGAGCCCCGAGGCAGGGCAACGGAGTCCCTCCAGCCGCTGCCAAGAGCTGGCAGTCGAGCAGCGCCGCAGGTCAGACCTTCAGCTCGACACAAATCAGACTGCTTTCTGTGTGATTGTGTTTGTTCACCCAAAAAATAAACATTCCGGCATCATTTACCTGCACTCATGTCAGTCAAAACCTTTGAGTTTTTAGTAAAATGTAATGATCATGATAGACTATTAAGAATAAAACAAACTCAAAATAATGTGTTTAGCTGAATATTCACTTTATATATACTTCATATATATATATATATATATATACACACATGTGTGTGAATTATAAACGCAACACTTAAACTCAAAGATCTAAGACTTTTTCTATGTACACAAAAGGCCTATTTCTCTCAAATATTGTTCACAAATCTGTCT